TTTTTTTAATTAGAAATCACAATCTCCACAGCAATGGGGTCAAACTCTATGCTGGTGGAAATCTGCATTAACAGCAACTGGAATGCAGACAGATAAAAACCGAGAACAAAGAAAGAATGAGCAGGCAGACTGACCAGCACTTCCAGGCTGCGCTGAAAGCCAGCCAGCCAAGTGAGCTCTGCTCCAAATAGTCAAGAAATTAGTATGAAAAAATTAGTATGGAGGTTTTTTTCAATTACTGCATTCTCCAATTAATATTTTCTAAAAAGACCACCTTTGTATTTTCTATTATACACACAAATTAGATGGCACTTCTGAAGAAAACTGATGAGCAGTGTTGTTCCTTACAAGGTCCACCAAACGTTAAATGGAATAAAGACAGCTACACCCACAGCTTACAGATGCAGCATCGTGAAATGATGTATTGTATTTGCCCTCACATGATCACACCATTTTATCTGTAATTCCATGTTATCAAACCAATTCATTTCACATTAAGTAAAAGGTAAAAATCCTAGTATTGATGTATCTTCAAGTTCTTTCTGAAAAAAGCCAAAAGCCATTAATCAAATGGGAAAGTACTATTAGTACTAGATATTTCTAGATTCCTTTTATTTTAGAGGAGCTGCTGTGTGCCAGCTCTGTGTGATCTGCCAACTCTTTTTTTCCCCTTACAAAACCTAAACAAACTTGGCTAGTAGATTCTCTTTATGGTATAAACCCTCCAAATGTAGAGCTACACATACGTAGCACTCAGCAGAATTACTGAAGCTCAAGTTCAGTTTTTCTCCTTAAAAAAATACATACAGATTGCTATTAAAAACCAACACAGCATCACAGTCCTTACCAATGTCCTGAGTGTCTTGGTTGCTCTGCCTGGTTCTCATCTGTAGTTGGAACTTATGCTGGGAAGAGCAGAGATGCAAAAGGTACTGGCAAGTCTTACTACTGTCAGTCTGAAACGCATGCTTGATACCATCTGACATGTTCTGCAAAGTTATTTTCTTCTTCTACACAATGGAGAAAGAAAAAAGTTGAAACAATGATTTCTTTTAGCCTACAAAGAATTTTGTATTTGCTTGTGCACAGTTACAGCATTCAAACTTCCCTGAAGCAAAATGCACTGATGGGAAAGATTTCTGTTAAAACTGGGGTTTAAAGTAATTTGAGATTTCCAAAGTAGCACTTTAAAGCTACTTTCTGGGCTAGCTGAGATGGTACTTTATTATTAATCCGTCCCTGTTACTGTTAGTGCTGACTAATGACAACCAGTACTATTACATTTTGCAGGATGGGGTTTTCAAAAGCCTCCGAAGAAGTCACAAGGGGTGCTGCCACTCAAGAGAAAAAGAACTAGATGCCCATCTAATTATGAAATCTATCAGTTAATGTTCCAGGTCTTAAATTTATCTTTTCAGTAATTTTTAAACTTCAATTTACCGATTCTAGTGAAAATCGTATCACAGATGAAACAGGCTATAGCTTTTCAATAAGGTATCAGACAGTTAGAAGTACTGTTTTCAATACCTGTATAAAGGTAAGCATTTGAAGCCCAATACCTCATTACAAACTGACACATGAACACCAGATTATGGTATACGTATCGATACTGTAACGATATGGTAAAGTTGGCTGGTATTGTCCAGATCAAGTGTCAGCCCCTGTCATTCATTATCATTTAACTTAACTGCTCTTGGAAATACAACAACTTAATGGCAACATAGGTGCATCTCCTAGTTACACTGAGTACTGGCATTTGCCAGTACCCAGTCCTCTAATGCAGGGTTCTCACTCTGGTGCTCCTTCACTACCCATGTCCCATATGGCAGCATGGGCAGATTGCCCAGAAATGCAGTAAATAGCAAGGGGAGAAGCTCTGGCCATGAGAAACACCATGATTTATCTTCGTAATAGCTCTTTCCTTAGAAGGCAGGGAAGCCATGTTTCACATCAATACAGGTTTGCCAAAACACAGATGCTAAACTCTCTTCTGAGGCTGGAACCTCAGCAGCAGAGAATGCAAGAATGCAAAAAGGAGGAAAAAAAAAATATCTTTAAAACATCAAAACTATTTCAATCCCATAATACAGCACAGCTCAGCCACACAAAATGTAGTCAGGTTATGCTGTAAAACAGCAGCTTAATTTGCAAAAATAACAAACAGACAAAACTTGTATCTGGAGATACAAATATAGACATGTACACACAGACAGAGGAAAAGAGACCCACTTACACTAAAGGATATTTTCTTTGTCTCTCTCCATGGGAAGCGTAGTACAGGTGTGCGGGCACCATTGTGAACTTCAAAAATAACAACTCCTTTGGAGCATACTCCCAGAAGGATACCTGTTTGGGATCTCTTCTCAGGCAACACATGATGAAGATGAACCCCATATTCTGTGAGCCTCTGACACAACTGTACAGATCAATGCAATGAAACTTCTAAGAATATGAAGTTAAAGCTATTACAAGTTTTTTTATACCTCTATATAAATACTGTACCTCTATATAAATATTGTAATATATGCATATATATATATGAATTTTAGAAAAGAATATTCCTCTGTGCCTGGTGATTCCACTTATACAGTTTACAGGTGTTACAACAGAGACACATCAGCTGCTCTGGAGGGTTATAAGTCTTGGTAGTATCTCTTGGCCTGCCAAACACTACGGCAACCGAACCTAGCATTTATTAAAATCAAACAATGAAAGCATGAATCAATAATGCCTGTGAGTAAATCAAACTTACACAAACCAATTATTGGCAACGAACTGTAACTAGCCAGATGCGCTTGTTATTGACACATTTCTTAAACACAGAATTAGATTAACACTGCAATTCTGTGACCACATTAAGGCATCTAACTGCCAAAAGATGCAGTATCACTCACTCTGCACTCCCAGTCATTCACTCCTGCTGTCTCTTCAGTACTGGCATAAGGGATTGATGTAATGAATCAAATGAGGGATCTAACTGCTCTCTGCACCCCACCCCCAGTCAGACTAGGTTTAGCTAGGATCAAGTCCCCTACCCTTGCTAGGTTGTGGTTAAGTTACAAGAACACTTCTGCCAAATGAGCAACAGCCTTAGAAGGGGCAAGTCAGCTGAGTGCCTCTTCCATCACCTTCTCAAAGAGACTGTGGAACTACAGTGTGACTGTGGAATTAAACTGTAACGGTTATGCAGTGTCCCAGCAGCAAACCATCACCCCCTGAACACGTTTGCAGCCATTGCATCAAGGCAGGACCTGATCATTCTCTCATAAGCAACAGCAACAAACCCCATAATTACATTTCTTAATGGGTCCTTTTAGAATAAACCAAATATATCTGTGATTATACTTTTTCTATCATCTTACATAGTACCTGCACAAGGAAGTCCATTTCTGGCTCGCTTCATATCAAGCACCATGAACACTATTAGCTGTACCAAAACTTTTCATAATTTAATTTTCTTTTTTCCCCTCAACAGAAAGAACAAAAGACGTAGGGAATGCAGGGCATGCTGCCTCACAATCACATCTTCCTTTAGAGTAAACACAAGGATCAATAGTTGCTTCTAACTAGTTTGAGCTAAAGCAGGAAGACTACTGATTGGGAAAAAAAAAGTGAAAGGACTACCATCCCATTTATTACCATTTCTTTTCACTTGAATGATCTGGCTTTTGAGAAGATCTTTTCAGCTTTCTTCCCTTCAGTGTTATTCAGAAACTGAGCTGTTTTCCTGTGCTTTCACTTGAAGTCCATGTACCCATATCCCCACATGGAATTTCTTAAGTCACAGATTAAGAAAGCAAACTGCTGCACACTTACCTTCAAAAATTCTAACTCTGTCTCTTTTTCAGATGCACCCGCGTAAGTGCTATGCAATTTTGGCAGCTCTTCCTTGATGTAGGACAGATCTAGTTTCTCCATCACTCTAGCCGGGACATAGTGTTCTAGTCTGAAATATGACATGCCATGCACCTACAACACGAAACATTTTTGTGGTGGCATCTCCATATACTACTCTATGAGCACAAATGAAGCATAAACGTTCATTTTACAGAGAATTGTACATTACAGCTGAGTAAAAGGAGGGATTCAGAATCTCAACCCTGACCCAGAGCTTGATTTCACGTATGGTTTCTTCCTATTCAAGCCTGACTCTACTTCCACTGAAGAGAGAGGTCTCAACACCCAGATCTTGAACTAGATTCTGCAATAGCCCTGTGTTAGACTAAAAGAAAACTTGCCCACAGCAAAACCTGCCAACAGCGTGTCAACTGAGCTTCCAGTCCAGGGCAGAGCTGTGAAGCATGTATGGCAGCTCACAGTCCATTCTTTAATTAAGCAGCAAGAGCACAGCTTCTCAAAGATGAAACTGATGGCGTACCTCTGCCTGGTAATCTCCGTACTCAGCTTGGAGAGCTAGGGATGCTAATAATAAGGCTGTCTCATCATCACAGTGCATCCTGTCTTCCAGGATGTCCTTCCGCAACTGTAGATAATACTGGTGACAGGTCAGCGTATGCCTAGAACAGGAAAATAAAACAAAAACCGCAAAAAACCCCACACCATCTTTGGTACTCTTTCTGTTACAGCAAATTTCCAGTATTTGATTAATACCCAATTTCTGTCCATAAATTTAGGTCTTAAGGAGTTAAAAAAAATTTTTCATACACTCACTGTATAAGACTGACATCATCCACAAAAAACTTTATGCGAAAAAACAGAGTGAAGTTGACAGGGGGCTTGTTCTTTTTCTTCGGTTCTTCTTTCCATCCTTCTGGAGCCACTTTACTTAGCTTTACGTCAGGATCAACGAAGAAATATTCATTGTCTGCCATGAACGTTAAAGGGAAGCACAAGGGTAAAAACATTAAAACCAAATATTTTCTCCAGCTAGAGGATCGAGACCAGATTTACAATTCTGAAATTTGGTTTTGAGCAGTAAGGTTTTCTGTTGACTAACAATGGCTTATAAGCACAAGAGCTATTAAAGAGAACACTGAATATGGGCAGAAGAAATAATTTTATAGTTATCCTGAAGACACCAGTGAAGAACAGAAAAAAAGAAAAAAGTTACCTTCCATGACAGCTACAAAATAGAAGCTAGGGTTTCTTTAAAATTTCAAATTTCTTATTCCATAGGAAATCCAGTATCTGTCATTCCTCCCTTCCCTTACTACTTGTGTCCCACTTACATTTCTGCAAAACGTTTTCAAGGCCTTCTAAATTGCCAAGAGCACTGGGAGCCTGCCATGGATAGAGTAAGCTCTTGGGCTGCTAAGGGCTTCTATCTCATGCTACTATTCTGACCGCTGCAGTTCTGCAACAGCCTGTGAGACATGCTTACAGGAAACTTGGGTCTGAACACATTAGTTCTGCTATAATGGCCCTCTACCCAGTGGGGGTGGGTAGGGAAGTCCAACTTCTGGTCTGTTTCCAACAGCAAAAAATTAACAGCTCAGGAGCAAATACTCTTCCCTTAACGCAACTCTGTCTATAGAAGGGGCCTTCCTATGCATCCCAACTGCCTCCACAAAAGGCTGTAACATTGCCTAGGGCATATTAACAGAACCCAAAGCCCTTCCATGTCCTCTGAGGGGTACTAGTCAGAGTGAAGGCAACACAAAGCTGGGAAGAAAACTCGGCAACCAAAGGGAAAAGGCTGCCCAAGATGAGCTGCCATTACTCAGGCAAATGTAGGATTTTATTGTGCAAAGTTGTTCTTCATTGAGGAATGTGTTTTGCCCCAATCCAAGAGAGTGTAATTCAAAGTTAAATGTTTTGTAGATGCCAGGCAGTCTCTGCTTATCTTCTCAACACCATGTAGCTAATTCTTCTTATTCTGTACCTGTCAACTACATCAAATCATTATTCTTACCTCTTAACGTAGCCAATCCAAACAAGTGATGCTCCACCAAGCCAATATGGGCAACAACCATATCAAAGACATCTTTACATATCGTTTTGGTATCACAGGTCAGTTCCAGCTTCTGCCCACTTAGAAGCATTACATTTACTTTTCGCCTGCTGTCATCATTCTTCCCTTTCTTAGTCTGTATTTTGTGAAGTAAAATATCCCAACATTCACACTTGTGATAAAAGTGCATTTGTTGGTTTAACATATTTCCCCTGCCACTGACTGCTGAACAGCCCCTTTCTTACCAAGATAGACTTCGGCAGATCCAAGGAGACGAATGGCTCAATCGTCATTTTCACAAACTCAGGGCCAAAGAAATTCTGCAAATCACAGGAGTATGAATGAACACTGTGTTGCTGGAACAACAGACTGAGGCACAGTTAAGTCCTGCTCTGCAAATGCCAAAGAGGTACCAAAGGCCAAAACTAGAAAATTGTACTGAATTCCTCCCATGAGCTGGTAAGCCTAAAGAACCTGATTTTGCCAGCATGTGTGCCAAATACCACCGGCAAGCTACAGTGTTGGTGACATTATTACTCCGCATATTTTCCTTCCTTTGCTGGGCAAAAAGCCAACACTGTAATATTATTTGTCTTCCTTTAAAATACAGGGTGTGGGTTGCTTATTGGGACCATCTGGGCTTATCTCAGTAAGCAACTGCCCGACACTACTAAGGTTTTCTGCATTGGTGGCAATTCCACCTTGCCAAATCTCTGCCTGTGACACACAAGCCTCATCTCCTGAAGACCACAATGTTTCAGCCTAATTCTATCTGCTGGGTTCAAGTACAGATCTGGCCAAATTCTGCCTGCCTGCAGACAAATAAATGTTCTACTAATTCACCCTGTAAATTATAGGAGGTTACCTGTCCAAACTGCTAAAGGAAGTCCTCTGCACAATACCAACTTCAATACCACATTAAAAACAGTGGCCCAAGATTCACCTTTTGAGGGAAAACCTTCATTGGCTACTGACTACTACCTACTGTGTACTGTATGTAAAACATCTGCACGTAAACCTCTCAAGGGCCAGGGGGGAACCTGGTTAGTTAAAGCCTACACAAACTGGTCAGAGTGCTATGGACTGGAGACAGATACAGGAACTATTACCCTGGATTAGGACAGCAAATTCACCTGAGTCTTCCCATCCTTAAAAAAAATAATAAAAAATAAATCCAATTCACTGAAAGCAGCAGCAGAGGGCATCAAGCCATCATCTCTTCTAAACATCAGCCACTCTACCTATACCTGTCTCCCTCTTTGTCTGTAATCTTGTATTTCATCCACATACTAAGACAGCTGGGAAAGGAAAGGGGAGTTTACACAGCGATTCAGGGTGAAGCCAAGGGCTGAATTAATCCTCTCTGCCTTTCTTTACCTTCCCAACTTGTTCATTTAATAACCTCTGATGCTGGTGGGACACATCCACATTCCACTAATAGAAATAAATGCAAATCGAAGTGGTTGAAACCACCACAGAATACATGAGAAAACTACACCTTACCTTTGTTAGGATGCTATACTGTTTAATTGATGCAATCTTATTCAAGGCTTGCTGTATGTTCTAGCATCTCTTGATACTGCTTTAGGCTATGTAGCCACTAATGCCACAAAACCTCAGAATTTTACCCTGTGAGAGTAGGTCTTTCCTATCAGGGCAACACCAAACACGTAGTATTTAATCTGTTGATGACTGTTTATTGTTTATTACAGGACCCAGTTTATGAATCCCACATATTAGAGTTTCAGTCAAGACACTGCTATGTTTCAATGAAAATAAGATTTCACCTGAGATCAGGGCATTACCCTCAGTTTTCTTTGTGTCATGGCTGTTTCCAGGGCTATTTCTCTCAGCGGATCTCTGGTGATGTCAAGCATTGAGGATTTAATTGCATCTCCTGGGTAGAGGTTAGGTCGGGACTGCCTGAGAGCCATTCTAGCTTGCAATTGCATCATTTCTTCTTCCTGACGCTTTAGCATCACTTCTTGACTTATTAGATTGCTTTCAAATGGTGCTTCATGTTGCCTGTGGTATAGTCAGAGGGGATGAAAGACATTAGTAGGTATGCCTAAGACATTCTGCTGCTTTAAGCACTTAGGTAAGTGGAAACCCAGAACACAAAAACTAGTTATCAGATACTACATGAAACACAACATTTATTCAGCAGCTATGAGGTTAGCACTCTACTGCAATCCATAAATACAGAAAATGAGCAAACATACCAAGTTTCTATAGCTGCCTGTCATTTATTCATATGAAAATAAGGGCTCAGCTACAGTCTAAAAAATACTTGACACTACAAACCCAGTGAATCAGTACAAAACCAGTGAACACACAGAAGGAGAGAAATATTAATGCTTTAAAAATATCTTAGTTTTTCTGTTCAAGCAGGGACTGTGAAAAAGATATGCCTGAAAACACGTCATTATAGAAAAAAATAAAATAATAGTGTACTTTATACAAGTAAATAGAAGAGGAGGCTGAGGGGAGACCTTATCACTCTCTACAACTACCTGAAAGGAGGTTGTAGTGAGGTGGATGTTGGTCTCTTCTCCCATGTAATTAGCGATAGGACGAGAGGAAATGGGCTCAAGCTGTGCCAGGGGAAGTTTAGGTTGGAAATTAGGAAAAATTTCTTCATGGAAAGGGTAGCCAAGCATTGGAACAGGCTGCCCAGAGAGGTGGTGGAGTCACCATCCCTGGAAGTGTTCAAAAAACGGGTAGATGTGGCACTTTGGGACATGGTTTAGTCTAGTCTACCCTTGATTGGTTTAGTGTGGACTTGGTAGTGTAGGTTAATGGTTGGACTGGATGATCTTAAAGGTCTTTTCCAACATAAATGATTCTATGATTCTATGAAATATTGCTCCAATCACTTTCTCTGTAGCAATTCTTTACTCACTCTTTGCACAGCACTTATTTATTCCCTGATTTTTTCCTGAGCAGTACTATAGCTTGAAATATTCATATAAACATTTTATATGTATCAACGTCCTATATGCTAAATTATTCTAAATATCATACTCTAACGTTTTCATCATTTTGTTTTGCTGAAAAAAATCCCTTTTCTTTTAAATTCCTAATAATGGCTTGGTTGATACACAGCCACCACAAAAAATCAATTAGAATCTAAATTAATAATCAACCTATAGCAACCTATTCTCCAGTTCTTCTCTCAGCAGTATGGATCCCAAATGTCCTACCAATTTTATTCTCTGTGGAAGGAAAGAAATCCATGTCCCCTTTTGGGTGAACAAAAGCTGTTCTTTTTAATTTGAAGATCAGGTTACGAAATGCAAAGAAAGGAGAAATCCAAGAAAAATAAAACCAACTTCCACTCCCCTCCCTCTGTACCATGCTTACAGAAAAACATCTTTAAACCCCAAACTAAATATAAACCAATCAAAGCTTCTTTAGAAATCCTAAAACAAGAAAAAACAATGTTCTTCCTCTGTTAACATAACTATACAGAGGCAATTTTTAAATACAAACAGACAGGGAAAACTAACAAGACTTTCATCCACCAAAAAACACTTTTAGCAATTCTAAGCTAAGTGTTAGTTTAGATGGTACACTAGAGTAATGAAACACATGAAAGAGCAAAGAAAGTGTTTTAAAGCCTGCATATCATTGCACTGAACTTTAGGAACACAGATAAATGTAGAGTAAGTACTGCACTGACACTGACATACAGCCCTTTGTAGTAAAAGGTAATCTACAGACTTTCAAAGACATGAAATTTATAAACCTGCTTTTTAAAAGAACCTAAAGATATGTTTGGTGAATGACAAATTAGTTAATAAACTAAGAGAAAATGCACCCGTCCAGACAGTACAGTTGTCTAATCAGTGGACATTATTTCAATTTTTTTTTCATCTTTTTACAGCAAAGTTTCTAATGAATGCCAACAGCGTGAACAGTGCACCACATACTCATAATTTCTTAAATACTAAAGTTTCACTGGTTAGCATACAAAACCAGCATTAAAATAAGAAGAGTTGTGTTATCATGAGAGTGCAAACAATAAAACGCCATTAATGTGCCACAAACTGAGCAAAACTATGCTGAAATTCCTCAAATGGATTTTCAGAGAAAATATAGGGTAGTTACAGAAAAATGTATTAACGTAAGCCCATTATCCTTTCCATTGTACAGGGCCTTCATAGCATCACTTCCCTTCTCCCTCCTCTGTTCCTTTCTGCAATAGACTTAATAACGTGTACCTAAAAGGACAAAGTAATGAGAAAAGGCCTCAGACCTGCAAAGACTTGTGCACATGCTTAGCTTTTCACCAAGAGGAAGCTTATTAAGATCGACATATGTGGGAATATTCACAATGAACTAAGTTAAATACACCCACAAGCGCCCTTCAGATCAAGGTCTAAGGATGGGCTCTGAAATAAAACAAAAACAAACACTTTCTGAACATAAATATATATGAATTATCAAAGATGATATGAAAAAGATAGACATGTTGCAACTGGCTGTATCTGAAAATGCTTGCTAAGGTGAAAACACCTACCGCAGAAAAAAATTTTGCCGTTTTAATAACACACAACTCTGTGCAATAGAAGCAATCGTAAGTTACTGTATGAAGTATTATCATTATGTTGGTTTATCAGCTTGGTTGACATACATTAGTTTCTCTGAAAATATGGGTGGGTGTGGGGTGTCCAGGGAGGAAGCACAAAAACCTAATGGTTTAAAAATTTTCCTAACTTAGTACATAAGCACTATCACCAACCAGAAATCAGCATGCTTCAGCACCGTGGGTGAGTAAAACTAACTCTGGCTTGGTCACACTGTCAATTTTCTATGGAGGGTATCAGCATGATTCACTCTTTAGGTTCCAAGACAAGGAATGCATCTCTCGTTTTACAGAAGAGGAGATACTGTTGACAGATACAGGTAGAGCTCTTCCGTGAAGTGCAGAATATGCAAGTATTATTACTCGAACAACAACAAAAATCCAAATTACTTTTCTAAAAGACAACATCATAGAAGTGTGTTTCCTGTGGTACTTCATCAGACCAGTACTTAGCTACTACTCTGTATTTTCATCAATGTCTGACTGCAAACCAGAATCTCACAGTTACTTATTAACCTGAAGACGGTAGGTGAGCAGTCACCTGGAAAGCTGACTCCTATAAAAAAGGGAAGCAAATTAACTCCTCACCTAGCATACTTACCAAGAAATTAGCAGAAATTGGATCAGAGAAGGAAGCTGGAAGAAGAGAAGCAGGTAGGCATTCTCTAATGATTAATGCAGTGGAAAGGTCAGGAACAGATTGAGAAACACGGTGCCTTTTGGTAAGGTAGGAAGGATATGGAAATGAAATCTAGTGGAAGGAAAAGACAACAGAAGGAAGAGATCCATGTCAGCTGCTGCTCCTAGAGAGAAAAAGGAAAAAACAGTAAAGGAAGAAAAAGAAAAAGAAAGGGAAGGAGAAGAAGAAAAAGAAAGGGAAGGAGAAGAAGAAAAAGAAAGGGAAGGAGAAGAAGAAAAAGAAAGGGAAGGAGAAGAAGAAAAAGAAAGAAAAAAAAAGACACTGACACACACACACACTAAATAATACAAGAAGCAAAGAGGAAACACAGACACAAGTATCCATTGCCATGAGGAAAGCATTCCAAGAAGTTTAAAGGATAACAACAGTCACAGACCACAAGAAAGGTTTTGAGTGTACTCCGAGTGTACTACTGAAAAATCTACGGCTTCTGCTAGTGTAAGAGCAGGCCAGCCCACCCAAACAGCACAACTCACACTGCCTGGTAACTCTGAACAGCTTCACTGTTTTTTTTAGTATTGGCAGCAGACTCCCTCAATTCCAAATCCCCCTATTTGATTCACAACTCAGTTTTACAAGGATAATTCCGTGGATAATTAAGCAGACTGCCTCTTAAGGACACGCCACAAGAGCAGTAAATTTAATACGTATTGAAGTACAGATGGTATCTCCGAACACAGAGAAAAACACTGAAACATACTCCCAAGTGCTGATGGAATTCAAGTAATGGATTAAGTTGCACATGCTTCCCCAAACCCTGAGATCAAAGAGCCAGCCAAAAAATGTAAACTCTGAGAATCTGCTCCTTGGAACTACTTATTATCAAGAGTTTTACTGGGGGAGCTTATGTTTCTTAAGTTATAAAAGCCATGATCTTCTGCAACACACGACACTTTAAAGCAGCAACATGCAATGTTCTAGATAAAAATATTAAGTTACTTTCTTAGAAATCTCAGCGCTTAACTAGCTACCATCTTTGATGGTATTCCTTTTTACACTTGTTAGCACTGGAAAGTTTTAACAGCTGTTGGAGAAGGAAAGAGAGCAAGCGAGCACGCACTGTTTTCTATTCAGCTCACATAATTAACAGAGATATTATCTAAGTATTATTTTAGGACCAAATTCTGCTCGTGGCTGCCTTCCTGCTTCTCAACAGATCTACAAAAAAAAGCCAGCTTTCAGGAGTTCAGCCTCATTTTTCCATCTCGGATATACTCATTAGTCTGGTACTTAGATTAAAAAAAAAAAAATTACAAAAATAGGTGAATAATTATGAAAATCAGTAAAGAACTATCTGTGGTACACTACCATGACATTTTTGTGCAAGTGCAGAGTGGTATCTTTTAGCAAAGGCACAGAGAGGAGGCCAAGAAGAAACAGTAGAGTCAAAAAAATGCTAAGCCTTGAAGTAAGACTGTATAGTCACATACATGTAAAATTCATTCCACTGCTAAGCACAACAGGTAAGTCTATGCTGTACTTACAAAACAGCATTTTCCTTCTAGATTTCACACATATACAAATTACATCCATTAAAGGTACCAGTCTTAACAGAGCAACATAAAGTGAAATAATGTAAAACGAACCATGAGAAACTATGTACTGTTTTACCACAGCATTTTTACTTGCATAATAGGCCTGATTCATTTACAACAATGTGACTCATTTACATACCACATACTCCTTTTCATTTCTGAAACATTTTGCAAATAGAAACAAAAATTCTCTATCAGCATCTGCAAATTACTGCTGTTTTATTTTAAAGCATTGCTACAGTGTTGAATTGGCAACTCTCCTGGGTTCAAGTTGAAGAAGAATGAAGGTTGACTTAGCCATATTCACCAAAAGAAAAAAAAACAATGCCAAATAAGTTAAGAAAGCTATACACTCATTCTGTATACACAGTAGTAATAATCTACTTTGCCATTTTAGTGTGGTGCTAAGACAACATAAAATGCAAAGCAGAAATTTACAGCCCTTTAACAGGGTTACATAGAACAAACCTGTAACCCGAGTCCTTGAAAGTTTGCCGTAAAAGCTCACATACTAGCCAAAACCCTCTTATGTCAAGACAGGCTGGATTTCTGAGACTGGACGCTGCAGTTTAACACATATGCTGTTACATGAATAGATACGACATTCCTGCCAGCAAAGCAGTGTTGACCCAGCTAAGCAATGCCTAAGTATTTCTCCCCTACAAGAAATGCCAATATATACTTTTCTAAATGACTTTGCATTTTTCAGGCAAAGTGCAAGTAGTAAGAAAACCAATGCAGCTGCTCAGCAGATCACCAAAAGCTGTAAGATTTCCAAGTAACTGTTCTCTTGTTCATCTGCACTCCGATACAGCTCATCTGAGACCCTGCCTTACTCAGATCCATTTAAGGCACACAATATAGTACAAGAAGCAGATGTTCATTTATTTTCGTCTACATGTTCAAAGCATGGCTCTAGGCCTTACTCATTGCACATCACCCTATACATTAAATGAACATGGAGGACACATTTGACAGCCTTGCCACATTGCCTGAAACAGTTCCAATCTTCAGACACCTCTAAGTTTCTTTAATATGACAGAGCAGGATTCCCATCCAACTTACACCAAAAACATAAACATCCTAAAATATTGAGCACAGCAGCAGTCTTTCTCCTGACCTACCCCAAACAAAGCAAAAAGCTGCTGAGAGAAGGCTTTGTTGTTGTAACATGGTGAGGGAAGAGGGGGGAAAACACGTCTTTTTTTTTTTTTCTTCTTTTTTTCTTCTTTTTCCCTTACTACAAAAATTATTTGAATCATTTTGATAAAATATTCCAAGGTGATTCAGCATCTGGCAGAGACTAGCAGAAGAAAATTTTCCATCCAAAAGGTCAATAGCAATAAAAATTCTCAAACATTTAGAATGGAACCACTCCCAAACCTAACAGGTATGGCAAGATACGCTTCTGCTGTACAAAGATGCTGTATTAAGGTGACGTATAAAGCAGAAGCTACTTTTTAAAGCAAAATTGATGAACAGCACTTGAAAAAATAACACCCAAACAGATGTAATATTCAAATACATAGCACAGCAAAATAAATTTCAAAAAGCATAAATTATTACTGAATTGCCCTGCCTCATCAGTGCTGAGGTATTAAAAAAAAAAAATTAATCCAAACAGAACATAAACTAAGAGCTTGCCAGAATAACCAAATGTATGGCTTTTGTCTTATTTCAAAGAAATAAGCATGCTATTATTTCTTTATTAAATAAAAAAGAAAAGCAAATTAATCTGTATTAATATCAATACTTTCCAAAACTTTATTTTAGAAAAGTATAATGAAAATAAAAATGGTTAAATATTTCCAAGCAGAACATAACTCCAGCCCCTGACCTTCTGACAGATACACCAACTTGATAGAGCACAACCCAGTCTCCATTAAATACAGGAACTGAACTTGGAGTCCTAACTGATATGCTTACCTCTACACCACAGTGCATCACAAGACTTTTACTTCAGACTACAATATGCAATTCTGAAATGCTATTTTCTTTCAAGTACAACATGCCATTTTTTTAACCTTAAGTGGAAGCTGGGATGGGAGTGAAAAATTTGCTTGCAGATTTAGAATACTTTCTTTGATAAAGACAAGGCACTCCAAGACATACTGTTTTCACAGGGTTTACCTTGACCTCTGAGAATTAGCTTGACTTGATGTGGAGATATCATCAGCACCTGGCAAAGCACCACTGGCATCATCCCTCTTGAAACCTTCATTTCTTCTCACTAGCAAATCAAAAGACAAATTAATACCTGACTGTGCAACAAAGCACACAGAGTAATTCTGTCTAAAAATCAAGGACTTAGCAGCTATATGAGATTACTTAGAAGGAATCAGATTCATGTTTCTTGCACAATGGCATTACAGTATTAGACAAACTAGCATTATGAAGTTGATTTCAGTTTTCAAAGCAATCTTATAGTTTTCCCCTACGAAGACAGCTGCACTACAAAAAGTCCTTCGAAGAAGAATACTAAGGAATGCCTAAAAGAAACCACAATTAAAAAAACCTCCACACAACCGCATGGACACCTTTCCAAGGTGACACGTTTCTTTGTCAGCCATGAGTTGAGACACATACATGGCAGAGACATCATACAAAACCACTCCAGAACAGAAATAGAGCAGCTAGGTAAAGTAATTTTGCATCCAGTTCACAAGAAGGGAATTAAGAAACCAGTATATATATTGCTGAGCTGCTGTGTTTAATTTTTGTCCCTGGAATCTGACACCTCCTTAGAATTTTTTTTTTTTTTTTTTTACAATATACTAACCTGCTATTTGTAATAGTTATCTCCTTTGCTGCTATGTCTTCTTGTTACAGCACCTGAGATCCTACACTTAGAGCTTGATTTTGCGAACTACTTTGCTTTCATCTCTTACTGTACCCTCAATAAACAGAGCTAGCAGGAGAGCTCTTGCAGAACACATTATAGCCACGGTGATTTAGAAAGAGTTCTTTTGGACAGTCATTTCACCAAGTCCAGCAATACTACTACTAGTAGCCAGAAAGCAGCTCTCTCTTGCCTGTACAAACTTAGGAGTTGTTGACTTTCGACTGGAACACATAAACAGCCTGTTCTAAATGGCAAGAAAATGAAGGGAAATGCGTTACAGGAGCCTTGCTACTTGTTACTGCTCCTTAGGCTCCTGGCTCAGTAAAGTAGGAGAACAGACAAAGACAAGGAAGGTTGAGAGAGCTGCGAGTACAGGGAGGCTGGGTTGGAATTTTGTGTGTACAGAATACATACAGTGCAGCTATACTCTAGCTTCCTAACTATTGCTTTCTTTCCTTATTTTCATCAAATGGTTTGTCTCCATCAATTTTAATGATTCTCCGAAGCTGATTATTTCAACTGTGCTCTCCTCTTGACTTTTCACCATTCTAGCACTTCTTTCAAAAAATGTTCCAAGCATTTCCTTCCATGCTGTGCTTCCACTGTGTAAAGAAAACCCTTCCTGCCATATATCAGTGAACAACCCTTCGTACCATCTCCTGCTTTTCCAAGCCATTCATTTCACAGAACTTACCTAAATTTATCATAAAACCAGCCTGTACTACATACTACTTTTGCGTTACACTGAAATCCTTGGCCTATAAATTATCAACCATTTAACCCTCACAGTAAAACCCACCGATATAAAAATAATTAAACCATGTATGTCCCATATAAAGCTTTTGTAATTTACTGTTCTTGTACACTAACAACAACTTGATCATTTTTGTGCCTCTGAAGACAGCATTTTAAAACAAGCACTCTGGTAAAAAGTTAAGCATTTCCAGCTTTTCCTACCAAGTTCCCTTCCAGAGCACTAAATGTCAAACTCATTTCTGAACAGACTGCCAATTTTGCTGAACTGTACCCAATGTTGTAATTACATGAGATCAACTTACAAGGTCATTATTAGTGGTAATTATCAAGCCCCCTACTAAAGATTTAACTTCATAATTTTTGGGTCTATTTTTCATCTTGAACTTTTTTCTTTAGTTTTTTAATTTGTTTGTTTTGGGGGGGGGGGTTGTTTGTTTGTTTGGTGGTGGTGGGGGAATTCTTGGGTGGGGTTTTTTGGTTTTGGTTTTTAAACACAGGCCTTACCTTGCCTGAAATCTGGTTCCGAAGAAATAACAGATGGACTTTCACTTGAAGTACTACAAACGTCGCTGTGGTAAGATTTGTACCTTCTCAAAGGCTCTGAAAGTTTAAATCACGGTATCAGAAGAGTAAGAGAGCAACATTTCTAATGCAAAAATCAAACACAAATTAACATTTGAAATTCACTGAAATCTTTTCAAAACATTTTTAAATGCCCATCTGCGGCTATGGAGTCTGAAAGCAAACTCTCAGTGGATGCTGTGCAGTCCCATTCTTTCCCTGCAGCCTGAGGGTTCTGCGGTCTGCCTGGACTCTCTTGGCTAGCCTAGCAGAGCCACCTCCTCTGAACTTCTCTCTCATCATCACTTCCAAGTTAAAACTAATATTTAAAAAACCCAGAAAACCCCAAGACAAAAACCAATCACTCGTGCAAACAAAACTGATGAAAACATTTGGTGTTCACCTCTTGCATGTAGAAAGCAACCACCAGGACTCAGTCCCTGGTTCCTTCATGATGAAAAAGGAAAAATAACCACAGAGACAAAGCAGGAACTGGAAAATTTTAATTCATTCACCTCATCTTTGTCATCCACAAAATATGATTAACAATCAATTAACAAGCCCCTATAGGATATTTAATTAACCAGAACAGCTAAATGCATGTGATGAGAAATCAATACAACAGTCTCCGTTCCTACTCTCAGTGGATTCTTTAAATAACACACTGGAGCAAAGGACTCCAAAGAAGAGGTATGTACTTGGCATTTGCAACAATCTCCCAAAACTCTCCTATGCACAAGTCAGTGAACAACCACATAGTGTGCATAAAAGCAGAAAGCAAAACAAAAAAAGTCCCCACATTTTGCTATTACCAATGCTTCACTGTCTAAGTGAGAGAACACTTCAGGTATCTTTATTTGCAGAAGGCTGTGTCTGGTCCAACTACAGTTAATGTTTTTGAAAACAAAAGTGATGAGATAGAACACATGTAACTGCTGTGAAGACAAGTGCAAGTCCTTATAGCAAGGAATATAAAATGTAAGAATACAAAATGGGGAATACATGAGAAGATGAGTCTGGACACTGCAAAAAGGAAGTTGGAGGTTCCGACTTCCCACATCCAGAAAAGAAAATGCCTGGTGAAAATTCCTGTGAGAACAATAAACCTGCAGCATAACCTGTATTAGGTCAGCGGACAAGTTAGACATGCAGTCAACAGCACTATTCAGTCAGACTTCCTACAGAAGCAGGGAAAACTCCAAATAGGAAAAAGGCATGAAAAGAGATAAGATAATGCAGTAGACCAAGACTAAGGACAAGTTCACGTTAATTTTGGACTCTCTGTTTCCAAAACCTTCCTCCCTAAAAGCCAGCATTTTCCCCATTTCTACCAGCTCACTTGCGTTGTGCAGTTCCCCACTGTCCCACCAAATACAAGACTCTCTAACAAAACTGGGAAAAGTAATCAAAGTCACCAGTCAACCCATGAAACCAACTGCTCCCACCAGCACAGCTTAGCAGCATAAAACGCAATTAATCCTAAGGACACTTCACACTACTCTCAGAAATGAGCAATACTGCTTGCACATTTGCAAACCAACCTACAGCAATATGAATTCACTGGTAAGGGTGTGTGTGGGGGGTGGGGTTGCCTCAGTCTTTCCTAATGGTTACTTTCAGCATTCTGGATTTTACAACAAAAAAATCTACCGCCAATCTAGCAATTACTTGCCTAACAAGGGAAATAAAAACCAAATTCAGTGGGTAGCTTTTGGAGATGTATTTTTAAAATGCTCCCACCCCTCTAAGTGAGGCATCAATCCAAACATGATACTGGAGCTACAGTACAGAAACATTCAACTGAAAACAGATCTCTTCTTTCCCAGTAGTTTTATTAGCTGTAGGTTTTTCAAGTGTGCTAAATTGACTTTGAAGCAAGAGGATGGAAAGGGAACAATAAAATATAACATGAGATTTTAAACAGATTTAGCTTTTTCCACCTAGTCAGCAGCCTGGGCTTCCTGAATTGCACACAAATCGCGCCTCCATCCTGGTTCTTCCAGACATGAAATTTTGCAAAAAATAAATGTAAAGTAGTAAAACAGAAATATGCAGTTAAAACACAAAACAAGTGTTTGTATGCGGTGGTGTGATATCTGACTCTGCAGGGTATTTGACTTCTCTTGACTCATCCTGTTAGCAGGAGTTGGCACCCTGCTGTAGGCCAAGGGGTAAGTTCATGAGCCAAGAAACATAAAGCAAGATTCCCAATCACTGCTTATCTCAATGTTTTCACAGACCTCCACATGAGGCCCAGCTAGGTTTAAACCTATTCTCCCAGCATTCACAAGTAGAGACAGAGATGGGTCCACCCTCCTTTCTTGCCACATCTTTCTCCCTAAGCAAGGCCATACAACTTATCCCAATAACACAAGCAAAAGTATTCTCATCCTCCTGAGGCATTTTACAACCTTTTCACCTGGGGCTGCATCAATGACTATCAGCCTGTTCCGCCTAGGGACAAAAGTTTAGAGGCAATTAAGAAGCTACAGCCTGAAATTTGGGATAAATTCTCTAGATTTTTCTTTGCTTTGGTCAGTTTAGGGAAAACATACACAGATGTGGAACTGTGCTGCTGGGGCATCTTCTCTTTGGCAACCATCTTCCAATTCTCTGCTGGTACATACTATGTATACCCTATCTAGGCACACCCCCTACACATCCCCCCAACACCACACCTCCTCTTAACCAAACAATCTTTTCTGGGGCATGGTCAGGATATGCACTGCAGACCTGCAAACATTCAATTACATTCTAAATATTGAGACTACCGTATCTATAATGCTTGCAAAATTACCCAAATAATCTATGCTGTCTCCTCTCCTCTAGCAAATTGTCCTCAATTCTAACATGTCATATTAAGATTTAACTTCAGAGAAGGCACTTGGATCACGTCCAAGCCAAACTTTTAATTAAGAACTGGCTTCCAAAGGTCACAAAGTCCCAATTCTGGGATCAAGTTAAAGTTAAGCTTTTCATACAACAGTTTCAAAAATAAGAACAAACTTCTAACCTGTCTGGCTGGAAAGGAACAAAGATGACATCAATAAAAGCTCAAGACAACAATGAAACACCTTATCTCCCATATCTACAATTTTCCCTGGGATTTTTGAATGGTCTTGGTTTGTTGTTCTGTTTTGGGGGTAGTTTATTTTGTTTGGTTGGTGTTTTTTAAAAAATTTTTGGTGACTGAAGAGAGACTTCAGAATTGATTTAACTTCTAGAAACATCAAGCACATTATAGCAAAAATTATTCTACCAGTTACCCTTCTTAACATTTCAGTATTTAGATTACAGTCTCTTACCAGAACACTTCAAGTCATTTCATACCTTAGTAGAAAGACAAACCTGAGTTTAAGCATGTTTTAAGAGTCCATAACCGAAATGGATATATAAAACTTGTACTAATAAGTTAACACACGGTAGCACCACGATACAGAGATGAACGAAGCATTACAACCTGAAGAATCTCTGTCTGTGCTTCTTAGTGCTGCAGTGGTGCTTTCTCAAACTCCCTATCAAAGACAGCAGAGCACAACCTTACAGGCACCTAACACAGCCTAAAATAACAAAACACACTATTTACGCAAGGCAAGACATACAAGCCCAGACAAGTAATTTACAGAAAGCTTCATCTCAGCCAACTTCAACAGAAATCAGAGAACCACATTTAGCTTGGAATTTCATTATGCTGAACACGACTCCCATTAGATGTACAGGTTTTTAAATACACATTATTACAGAATTATTACTGGCTGTACAGAGAAGGAAAAGGACAGAGAAGATGGCAGAGTTAAACAGGCAGTTTCATGACAGGGAAGGAGCTCTTGTTTGCTCTTTGAGGTTTACTGGTGGGTGTCTCTATTACGTAAGTATTACTATAATACCATTTAAAACACATTAACTGTCCTTTACGAGAAGCTGGGACTTGCTTCTTTCACAAGAGTTTAACCAATAGGTTAGCATCATATTTACTCTTCCTTTTCCTCTTTTCATTTAAGAAAACTTGAATTATCTTATGCAAGGCAGCATAGGTTTAACAGGAAAAATGTAGAGATCCAGAATAAATCCCTTGTAAGGATTCACATCCAACAAGTACACAAGGGAAACAAATCCATTCAGCCTTCCAGGGGAGCAGGCTCATTTTAACTTCCAAGATTTCCACCACCCATATTCTAAAGGAAAAAGCTGTATTGTGCATGCAACCCAAGTCACCAGCCATTCAGGTGACTCCCTAGAGAGCCCAAGGGACATCTGATGCATAGGGTCTAGCAGGATCCGAGCGACAGAAAGAAACACAGCCTTGTAAAATTGCAGAAAACACATCTCTAGGGCTAGGCTGGAAAGGAAAACAGCAGGGTTAAAAATAACAACTCCAGGATCTGGTAAGAACTTAGAGAGACACCCTTCTTTTTTGCCATCTAGGATAAGGTATGTAAATGGACACAGACTGAAAGTGTGGCCAGTAAAGTTGTTTGTTTGATTTAAATGTTTTATCCAACTGAGAATGTAATGTGTTGACTAAAAATTTATAATCCCAGACTGTGTGAGCTGCTGAAAGCTTGATAAAGCAGATGCCACTTTGCTGTGCAATTATGGAACTGTAAGAGCTATTTTACTACCTTATGTTAAACTATGTAATTCAGAACAAAATAACAGTGGCTGATGCCAGAGTACTTGTACTTTACAGAAATCCCACAAACATTTCTTTTTCCTTGAAAAGCCAACTTCTGTAGTCTCAGTAAAATTAACAACTGAAAGTTTTCTGTCTAAAATAGTATCAGTCCATCATCCTACCCTTCATTAATATGATTTCTGAACACTGTTCTAACTGAACCTTCTCCTTACCGGACGTACCAAATGCACGAGAATCCATTTTGCCACCACTGAATTTAAATCATACTGCAGCACAATGATCATAAGATGTCTAAACTGAGCCTCAATTTGCTTTCACATGCAAACAGATATACCATTGTGAGTAACTCGCATTTCCTCTGCTTAGCCTACACGTGAACTGAGTACATACAATTCAAGAGAAA